AAAAGCATTAGTCACGCTGCCTATCTGCTCTACCTTCTCTCGGTTTTTATGTGATTTTCTACTTTAACAGTGCTTAGGCTGAGGAACTTTTGGAAATGCCAGTGGCCTTCCCTATTCAGGACAGAGGCGTTAGAGGATTCATCAGCTTTTCTGTTGGTATCTGTGAGACTATTTTATGTCAGCTATGTATTACATCCGGTTTGTTATTTTAAAGCTTAACTGCATTCAGATATGAATGGTTTGTATGTGTGAAACATATTTTTACTGAGCATTTCTTTCGGGTAGAAGTAAAGTCCTTCTTTCCTCTTAAAAGGAGCACAGAATGACTCATGCCTGGACTAGCTTGAAGATGCAGTGTTAAGCATTAGTTGGTCAGAGATGACTCATTTTTTGTTGTTATCTGGAAAATCTGACAGATTGTCAACATCAAAGTAAAGACAGAATTAATTGTTCATAGGAAATTCTTATTTTCTTTGTCAGTTGCACTTCATTCTGTCCCCCATTTCTGTCTTTGGTGCAATCTTTTAACATGGACGTGTCTGTGTGATAGCAGCATCCCCTTGTGCCAGATAAATGATTATCTCGGCTGTCCTGAAAACTGTATTTTTTGGCAGCGTTCTGTTTGAAAAGCATGCTCTCAGCTCCTGTTGAACATATTGAAAATAATTATGAATGAAATACCCTGACATGTCTGTTAATTGAATTGCATATCCTTGACGAGAGAGTTCATTTAAACTGGCCGAGACAGCAGAAGGGGGTGACTAGGGAATCTATACTAACAACACTTTTGAAATGCCAGACCTAATCAGCTGGTGTTAGCGTTATCCCTCAAGCATCTTCCTTGTGTTGATGTCATAGAGAAATGAGTTGCCTTGCTTATAAATGGATTGTCAGACAACTTTATTTTGAATTACCATGTTTAATTGTGCTACTGATATGATTTGCTGTGGTGAAATTAGTGCAGCTCTTGTTTAGTTTTCTGATATCAGTGAGTTGTACACTATAGCTCTCTGAAGCAGGTACCCATTCAAGGAGTACTATTTTTAAAATAATTCATTATTCAGCCTGCCAAGCGGAATTGGAGTCCACAGAATTAGTCTGATCCCCCTATTCAATAAATACAGGACCTCAAAATATTCAATGTGTTAAGCAGGATATTACAGCAATAAAATCTGTGTGCTTGAGATTGTTTCTAACATCTGTTGTATATACAGTCCCATAAGAGCTTGTTATCTGCGTTGATATGCTATGAGCAGAATGTATTGAAATGATTGTGTTTTCAGTTTGTCAAAGATGCCTATAAAATAAACTTGATGGAAATTATAGGAGTTAGTATTTTGTTTCTGAAGCTAGCAATAAAGATGATTAAAAATAATAGAAAACTTATATTATGAGCAGAGATAATGGACTTGCTCAATGTTGTATTTTCTGGAGATACAATACAGCAGAGACTCCAAGCAGGCACCAACTGAACTAACCTGGGCCGTGTGCAGTGCTGTGCTTGCGTTAATCAGCCCACTCTGCTGGTGAGATGAAGTGCAATACTATACTGAGACACCTATATACAGTCTAGGATTTAGCCTAGTGCTGTGCTCTGTAAATATATCAATTCACTAAATGCTACTTCAGATATCTTCACTGTGACTCTAGATTTACCGGTGTATACGTTTCTTAAGAGAGTTTGGGTTGTTTAGCTTAGAGAGGAGAAGGTTAAGAGAGAATATTAGAGAAAGAAATGAGGTAAGCTCCGAGGCAGCACTGGCAGCAGAACAAAGAGATCCAGTTTATACTGACAGAACATAGAGTGAAAATGGGAAGAGACTTGGGAATAAAGTTCTGGAATAGGCTTCCAGTGAAATTAGAATTTACAAGTTTGTAAGCGTTCTTGACTAACTTCATGAATGATTATATTTGTATGACATGTGATGCCAGGGACAGACTTGACGTTAACTGGTCCTTCCACTCTTACTAAGCTACAGAGATAACCCTGCAGTTACTTACAGAATAAGGAATATGTGCAAGCAGCTTTGTGGAGATGGCCCTTGAGTGCCTATGCAGAATGTGGTTTGCAGGCCTACAGTATTAATCGACCTGAATCAGGCACGAAGGGACTCTTTTTTCCATAAGTAAATATTAGAAAATGAGTGCCAGGAACACTAACTTTCTCAGTTTTAGAAACCACTCCATCAGTTCATTTTAGCATTAAAAGTTATGTGAAAGTAGTTAAAATTTGAACTTAAAAGTTGTAGAAACCTTTTCAATGAAACACCATCAGAGATGAGAATCTGAATCTTGTGTGTACCTTGGGATGCTGGGAGTTTCTTGCTTTGTTTTTGAGGATTTACCTCGTATATAGGCTTTGTGTCTGCCCAGATGTCAGGTTTGCCCCAGCATGGATTAAACAAACAAATAAACTTTTTTTTTTTTTTTTAAGGAATTGAAGGGAATGGTTTCATAAGAAAGTAAACCTTCCCCTGGGGTACTTGCAGCTGGGCATGTTACTAACATCGTTAGGCGGGTGCAGGAGAAGTAGGAAGTGAATTTGACTGAAGAGGGCTGAAACAGTCCAGGCTTCTTTACAGCTGAGAGTGAAATATAAGATTTGAGCAACCAAATTTGTAATGTAGTTATTATCTTAAAATAATTAGATTTGACTCTATCTCCAACCCCAAGTAGTAAGTGTAAAAGCTTTTCAAACTATTTATTTTAATCTTGGCTTGATTCCAACCCTCTTAAGCGTCGTCTAGCTCACTTCCTGCTTTTATGGCTGTGGGAAGCTTCTTGAACGTATGCAGACTTGCTGCGCAGTTACTGTGCCACTTCAGCCGCTCTCGTTCCTTCAAAAGGTAATGATGTGGCAAGGCGAAAGAAACTTTGCCCTTATGCCATGGAGATACCCAACCGCCATTTAAGAGCAAGCCTAGCCCGTGGTGTGCGCCGACCCTGAAAGAAGCAATGGTACAGTCCTGCAGCTGCGAGGGAGGGGGAAGGGGAAAAAAAAAAAAAGGAACCAGTCACGAGGGATGAATTTGGTGGCCCGCACTCACCCCAGGGGCTGGGTTTCTTCAGAAGTCCTTCATCTGCTGTGGGGTCTGGAGGGATCTTTTCTCAAGTATCAGCAGCATGTAGCCCAACAGCATGGGTGCTGCTGATGTCTGCATCTTTCCCCTGGTAGTAACCATCAAGTAGCTGTGCAACCTGCCTAAGGTATGCCTGCTCACTTAAAACTGATCACCGAGGTTGAGAGGGAAAAAGTTCATGTGCCCAAACATACATATCCCATCTGTTTCTAATTCACATTCCCTTACATAACATGTAATTGAAATAATGCCTTTTGTAGAAAAAAAAATAAAATGCAAACAATTTTTCTTACTGGTGTTTGTACTTTTTCCTCACATTAGATTGCAGACGCTCTACTGTTCATCCTCTGCCTCATGGAGCCAGCCAGCTACTGAAAAGCCATTTGAACATAAGGATTGTGCACAAATGCTTTTTCAGTTTAATTTCTTGTGTTAGCTGAATTTTCATACCGCCAGATTTCATTTACTGAGACTAGTAGTAGAGAATTAGTAAAAGTTTTGGTGTTGTGATAGTAGCAAATTGAGAAGGAGAAAGCAGTGCTTGAACTCCTAGAGTCAGAAGATTTTGATGCAAAAACCCTGTTTCTAAGTCTCATCTGATCTCCCATTAGAAACAAAAATACATATAATATTGACTAATGGTTCCAAAGGATCTAGGCATGAAATAGAGTAGATATGAGGAACCTTGGATTAAAATGAAGTGTCAGCAGATGGTTGCTGCGTTTGCCTATATTTACTTGTGCTATTAATTCTTGATTTTTTCATACTGACACCACAAAAATGTGACTGTGAAAGGTGAGCTAGGAATAATTTCAGTTATGGATTCTATATGCAATTTGATTTGATTTATTAGTACAAAAGGTTGGGATGACAGCCTTTGTATCTTTGTATTATTTCTACTTTGTAGCTTTGTACTGTTGCCTTGTATTCATTCTTCCCATGCATATGGTCTGTGCATTGTGAAACTCTTTAGGCTTATAGTATTTGGTCTCCCTTTGGCAGTGGTGCTCCCCATGGGATAGAGTTGCATACTAAGATACAATGCCCATATCAGCTAAAGGAAGGCTATAGTCATAAGAATGGTATTTATTGAGCCCTGTCCCCATAATAGTATACGTATCTCCAGAGTGATCCTGAAGGATCAGGATCCCAGGGGCCTGGGTTTAAATTTGGATTTCATACAGCTATGCTGCCAGTAGATTGCGAGGCAGATTGAAATGGTTTGTGGCTAACACCATCAAAATATGTTTTCAGTAGAAGTATTGAGCAACTGACTTTGCAATTTACAACAACAAAACGAGGAGCAAAATGTCACGTACTAAATGTGTTTTATATTTCTCCTGCTGTTTGAGAATGTGATCAGCTCTGTAGAGCTACAGCCTGCACTTTAGGCTTCTCAGGCTCATCAATTTCATATTCTTTCAACTCTTCCAGATGATCTGATTGCCTGGAAAACCTTTTAAAACATACTTTAATTTTCTCAATGTTCTGTCAGCCCACTCCATGTAGGTTTGCTTTGTGCTCATCGTCACTCAGCATAATGTAAATGCACTTCACCTCATTGTGAAAAGAATCATCATAGTTTGTTTTGCATAATATAGAAACATCCTTTCCCATCAGACACTTGCAGTAGATCACAACCAAAGTGAAATCTCAAATGCTGAAAGCTGCTTCCTCAAACAATGACAAGAAGTAGTTGTGAGCAAATGAAAGCTGAAAACGTTCAGTCATATTTAGTTCCACAAATAGGTTTTGCTTTTGGTCAGGCTTCCTGTATTTTGTGAACTTGCATATGTTCAAGAGTACGCGATGAGCAGCAGCAACAGTTGTTTTAATTTTGTAATCATGTGGCAAAGCAGTAAAATATCTGCAATGTATTTCATGGACAAAGATTCCAAACTATCTAACTTATTTCAACAGGCAAGCAGTCCTACAACAGGAACAGCTCCCAGGAGTCAGTCACGATTGTCTGTCTGCCCTTCCACTCAGGACATTTGTAGGTATGTGCTTGAGAAAAGTATACTTTAATCTGGCTGATATTCGCTAGTTGTTGTCTTTACTAAATAATATGTAGCTCTTGCTTCTGCTTAGCACTATTCATAATTTACGCAAATTTTATTTTTGTTTTGATCTCTATTATGGTTCTAGTTTGGCTTTTCAGTCTTGTTTTTCTGTTAAATTTCATATTCTCATTTTCATCCTTTTTTTTTTGTGCGCGCTCGCTCTCTCTCTCTCTCTCTCTCTCTCTCTCTCTTTCTCTTTCCACACACCCTTACCATTTCCATGCCTTACTTTTGCTTACTGCTTTGTCTAGATCTACTACATTGCATGATTTGTCAGAAGATGAGCTTGAACATACAACCCCTGTCATGGTGCTGACCCCTTCTAGTAGGGAGTCTGGTAAGAAACAAGTAAAACGAAGGTTTAGGCGGAAAAAAGAGACTGGAGACAATGGTGAGCATACAGAAAAGCAAAGAAAGGGGAAGGACTGTAAATTGCATCCTGAGGCTGCGAGATCCAGCTGGATTGCATCTGATTCATCATCATCTTCGGATGAGAGTCAGTGGGCTCAGGTTAGGAGGAGAGCAAGAGAAAAGGTCAAAATGCCCAGGAGAGGGAGAAGGAATAGATCATGCAGTAACCAGGATGGGTCCTCAAAAAATAATGCTGTTGAACTTGTCACCCTGGGGACAATGGGGAAAAAGAAGCAAGAGGTATCTGATCCTGAGAATCCTACTTTAAATCACCGCAGAAGAAGGGTTCCAAGGTTTAAGGAATCTCAATCTTCAGCATCATCTCAGGAAGCGAGGATTTCCTCAAGAAAATGTGGAAAAAGCAAAGGGAAAAGCTACTACAGAGATCGGCACTCTGCATCTTGCCTTAGACACAGTAAAGATATGAAGGACTGCTTTGCAGAGGGAGGCTCTGGCAGCGACGCTCTGGCAGTCCCAGATAACGGAGCACCTACTGGGGCAGAGCCCGGTGTGGCTGATGCTGTTCACAAGTCTCCAGTGTTGTGTGATGACTGGTCTGATGATTTAGAAGTATGCAGGTTAGTCTAATGAGAAAGATTTAACGTTCTTGATAGGGATTTCTTATCACCATCGGCTAAGTGCCCTTCTCTTGACTGCTTTCTGTCACTGCCTCTCTGTAATAAACTGCTAGACAGGCCATAGGAAATAACCCAAAATATTTTCTACAGAAGGTTTATGATATCTCCATCTGAAGATATATTTCTGTTATTTAAAACTAGTAGTCTTGGAAGGGAACTGAGTGATTTTTTTTTTTTTGCTAGATTTTTCTTCATGAAGGCAGATACACTGTGCGCTCTGGCAGAGTACTGGAGTGTTTTAAATCGCCAACCAGAGCCAGAGAATGAGGCAGGAGGCCGGATAGCTAATGGGATATGGAGTTTTTCACTCTTAGGTGGTCAGTTCAAATCTAGCTTTGTTCTCTCTTTGTCATTCGTTATTGATTTACATTAAGTAAATTTATGATCTTGATTCAATGTCTTCTAGGGTTGCCATTACCACAGCAATCTGAGGGATGGTCTCTGCAAAACATCAAGCATAAATAGAACAGAACTGTGCACTGCTGTACTACATGAATATGTAGAAGCTGTAAGTCTGATACCCATCACAAGGATGGTAATGATACAAAAGGGAGTTTTGGCAGAATAAGTATTAAAGAAGTTTTGAGAAGGAAAAAGTAACTCTCCAGCCTAGGAGAGCTCTGGCCTCTGGCAGTCTGAGGTCTTTGTGTTGAAGCATGTAATCGAAAGGTGAGCTTTTTCTCCTGAAAATGAGGGCAACGTTGGCACTTCTGCGCTAATATGTGAATTTAATGTAGAAAACTGAGTGGGTTTGAGTCACTTGATTTAGTGATATCTTGAAAACGCGCCATCCAGTAAGTTTAACAGAACTGAAACAAGTATTTCTTTTTTTAAAAGCTGGTGTGCCAGAATTGACTGTCATCTACCAAGTGTAAATGAGGATCAGGCTTAGTTTCTTGATACGGTCACGGAGAACTTCTCACTTTTCTTTGCTGGGAAGAAATTTGCATGGAAGTGTAAACAGAGGCAGAATGAGGAAGTTCACTATACTGCAGCACAGTTTCGCAGTATGCTTCAGCCTAGTAACACTACAAAAATCCTAACTTTAAAAACAAAAAGATAATGTGCAGGCATTGTGTTTTTTCATAGCAGGAGATATAAGACATTGCTAAGACTGTACACTCCGTGTAACACTTATCAAACAAGAATGGCCATTTCAGTTATCTGCCCGCTGTCTGTCATCGCAATTTAAAATTCTTCAGAGCAAGGCTCACCTTTGTTTGTAGATCAGCCTAAACAGTAAGGCCACGTCAGGCTTGGGACCCCTGCGTCTTACAGAAATGCAAAGAAACAGCAGTAATGGTAACTATGTTTTATATTTTTTGTAGCACTTGAAGTACATTGTACAGTGCAGAGATGTGCAGAGGTAACTAAACCTGATCTTCAGAGTTGTCTTAAATTTCTGAGCCACCAAACCTACGTATATACATTGAATATTCAATGTAGTAGGCACAGTGCATATAATAGGGCCACTTAATTATTATTAACAGAATATAAGCCACTCAAAAAATGAAGTAAGTTATTTCAGTATGGGACTTAGTGGTACCAGGTTAAAAAAGACATTAAAGTCAAAGCTTTGTAACTGTCTCATGTAGGTTAATCCTAACTGCTGCCCACTTCCCAAACTTAGTGGAAAGTGAACTCCAGTCTTTTCTCTGTCTTCTCAATTTTACTATGATTGTTTGCAAGACTTGGAGCTTGATTGAGGATAAAATTTTTGGACTTACATACAAACTTTTCAGCTAGGCTCCTGTTTAGAAGAGGAAAATTGATGACTTCGATAGGGATGTGTCCCTAGGCTTACTCTCAGTGGAGATGCTCTATGAACGACTAGAGTTAAACTCAATGTAGTTGCTCGTTTGGCCTGTTGTGCAAAATTTGTCGAGAGTCATAACTGCACTTTTCTTCCTTTTCAGAGATAATGCTATATTTCTTGCTGTCATTGCTAGGTGTAGGATAGCTGATGATAACACATCTAGGAAAACTTAAAAAGATGAAAAGCATGTTAATTTTTCATAGCTGATGAGTTATCTTACTTAATCAGTTTGCAGACAGTTGAACAAGAAGGAAGAGATGTCTTAGTAGTATTAGTACTACCAGTTCAATATAGACTGTAGTTGCTGTTGGTCAGGATAGGTCCATGCATTTAATTAGCACGTGATCTGTAGCGTTTTTTTCTTCAAATTCAGAATCTTGCTCCTTCTGAAAAAAAGCCTAATTTAATTTCAACAAAGGTGTGCACACATACAGCAACCATTTTTCTTCATGAAAAATCTCACTTTTTCTGCGATATGTTTGTTCCAACACTGGAGTTAACATAGTAGATGGAAATTTTGTTTTCTTCAAGAACTGTTTCTTCAAACTTTTCATCATAGGTAGTGGTTTCTTCTGGTGGATGTCACAAAACAGGCTGAGATGAATGGGTATCACCTAGATGGGATTGTGTGGAGAAAGCGGAGGAACAGAGGTGTAGAACCTCTCCTGGTGCCAGTTCTTTTATCTTTAAGTGTGTTTAGGTAGGCAGTTTTTGTGCTTTACTTCTTCATGAAATACTGGTAGTGGAATGCATTTATAGATACACATAAGGCTATAAGCTGTTTCCTCTACATGCATTTAGCTGCATGGATTGGAAAAGAAGAGGTCACATCCTGTTCTAATACAAGCACGTTACACTGAATATATACTTCATCTAGTCTGACACAGGCCTCTTGGATCACTTCAAGTGAGACGTTTCCCCTCTTTTGTCCTTCTAAAATGATAAAACAGTGGTATGACATTTATCATCGTCTACTGCCTTTACAAGCTCTTCCTTGAAGCTCTTCCTTTTCCCTGGAGTCTACTAGAAGGCAAGTTTTCTGCTCCTGTAACTATGGACAACTGCCTAAGTTCTGACAATGCTGAGTTGTTATGGCACCTAAACTTTTTTGAGATTCACAAAGTAGGCTTTCTAAATCATACAGTTGGATCCCCCTTTCCCTAAGCTGCTTTATATCTGAGATTTTCCTCTCATATACTTTATTCTGCAGCTTGCCATGTCACTGGGTCCTTGAGGAACAACCTCAGAAATATCTTTCTCTGGTCTGCACCGCAGTAGTCTCCCTGAAGGGAAAAGTTAAGTCATTCCATGAAATGAATGGATTTTGAGAATTTAGTTCCATGTTTTTTTGCTTAAGGAAGAAAAAAAGTGTTAGTTGATATTACCACTAATGGCTAGTATATCATAAGTGCCTCATGTATTGACTCTGAATTAATGCTATGGTCTTATAGGACAATTGAAATATACTTTCTGTTTGACTAGTTATGGTTTTGGTCTAAAATATTTTTGTAGCGCTGATCCAGTCATTTCAACAATAACACTGAACTGTAATTAGTTGAAGTGGAATTCATTACAGTGAAAGAAACCACTTGCATTTAAATAAGACAGAGTTTCTCACGGTGATAAAATGCATATCAGAAGTATAATTTTGTTTTTTTCTGAACTCCATGAATGGATCTTTATATAGTCAGGTAAATGAAGACCCTTGTTTGAGAAGTAAATAGAAGAGTGGGGTATGTCAGAATAATGGGAGAAAAATGGGGAGAGGTTAAGAATGTAACCCTCATTTGAAATATGCATACTGAAACTGTAGAGTTGTAGCCAGTATATAAACTGCAGTGCAAAATATGTAGACCTGAAACACCATCCAGAGCCCTCCAAAACCACTAAGAACAGCAGAGTGCTGAACTGCCAGCCTGTATAGTGTCAGGCTGAACATTGTTTTTAACCTGCTCCTCCCTGGGCTGTGAATGCCTTACTCGGGGTCTTGAGATGATATGTCCTTTCATGAGGTGCCAGAACTCTGCCTGAGTTTTCCTGAATGTTGGCTCCTCACCCCTTCCTTTTAAAGA